AGGAGACGACGCGGCGGGGCGGCGGGGCGGCGGGGCGGCGTGGCGTGCACGCCGTAGTGGTCTGCAGGCGTGGAGGGCGGTGGGCGGCGGGCTGACCGGCTGGAGGCGGGCGCAGGCACTGGAGGACGCAAAAGGTTGTGACCCGAACAGGTTGGCCAAGGAATTTGTGGAGAAATCGAACGCTAATACACCATCCCTCTAAAAGAAAGAGCAGTCGGCTGCGTGTGATCGCCCTGCAAGGCAAAGGTGCCAAAACGTCCAGACGACCATTTTGTCATGCACATTGGGTCGCAAACACAACGATGAACGCCATAGTCACCTGTCGTTACGAAATTTTTGCGTTCCTTTTCTAATGCCACTTTTTTGGCACTCTCTTAGAGATTGCCAATGCTTGGGCTCTTTGCTTGCCGAAATTCGGCCTTTTTGTGAAATAAGGCCTACTTTTGGCAGCTTTGAAGGCCAAATATTCCTTAACAGAAGACAAAATTTGGGCCAGAAAAAATTGTCAGTTTTTGAAAGAAGGCCAAAGCGTTGGCGTACAAGCCACCCACCACGGCGATTAGAGTGTATCAGCCAGAACCTACCCAAGCCCGTCCCATTGGAAAAATTCATCGAAGCACGGGCTTCAACCCTCAGGGATCGTCCAGAAAGTACGGCCGTTTTTATCTCAGATTCATTCGTCACATTACGGGAGCTTGGCGCCTGCGAGACTCAAAGTAGGCCACCCTGCAGTACACGCATGCATGGCAGGCAAGATGTTGCTAGACTTTTCCTGCTGTGCGAATATACCGTGGTGGCGTGCGGCTTATAGAGGAAGAAGAATAACAAGGAATACGTAAACGAAACGATACATTCCTTCCTGTAGTCGAAAGTTTCCCGCCAGTACTTGGGGTAAAGGCTCGACCAATGGGGACCATTCTTTGCTTTGGAACTTATGATGGCACATTTCATCTGATGCGAGGTGAGAGGTGTCCCGTGTCCCGAGCACGCCCGCTCAGGCCGCGCGTCCCCTCAAGATCCCTTCCGCACTCCTCATCGTTGTTCTCGCGCGGAAAGGTACAAAATTGGGCTCGGCAAATCCGCTTGACAACAGCGGCCACACTGTGTTCCATCAACAAGGCCAAAGTTCCCTCAACTCCGATATCGACGCCGACCTGGTCGCTCTGCTCGGCCCTGCGTGTGGGGGAGGGGGGGTTGGGGGGCGAAACGTGACCCAGAGAGTCCCCCGCCGATATCAGTCACACAGCAGAATCCTCATAATAGTGTAGAGATGGGGTACTTCCACGACTCCACACGCACCGCACACAGCCCCAGTAGAGAATGAGGTGTTGATGTACGAGGGGCGGTCAGTAACAGCAAGGGGAGTGAGAAGAGGTGGGCACCGCAACTACAAGGCGATAAAACATAGGAAAAACCTTCGCATAAGTTCAGTGGACGCCTGCTGGGTATGGTATTTGCGCGTTGACCTGCCGGCAACTGACCCGTAATAGGTGAACGTCAGTCACTTCTTGTATACTCCGATACGATGGCAAAGAGAACAGCAACAGCTTTTTCTCCCATGACCTATGCTGACTCAGCCGGCTCGATAAAACAAAAACCTTATTGGTGGTGCAGTTGGTGTAAACAAGAGAGAGTGCTGAGGCAGATCCTGTCAAGTCAAATCTGGGTGGCCGGGGGAGGGGAGGTGTGTGAAGAGCGTGAGCGGGCGTGTGGCAGAGGGTGGCGGGCGCGTGCTGTCATTTCGAATACAGAGGGGGATGGGGGGGGGACTACATACGATAGCGCTTATTGCCACTGTAACACAACGAGCGCTGACATTTGTCATTGATAACCTCTGAAAAATGGGAGAACTAACATACTTTCACTTCGTACCGACTATTGCTGTCCACAGACCCCTCCCTTTATTTAGCTTATACTGTACCGCAGGCAGGCGTGCAGACGGGTCGCACGGGGCCAGAAGGCGCCGCGGTGAGCGACGGTAGGAAAGCCCGTCCGCACGCCTGCATGTGGTACAGTACAGGGTGGGTGATCCGCGCTGTCTTTTTAAAATGCTTATACTGTACCGGATTCATGCGTGCGGGCGGGCTTGCCTACCGTCGCTCGCCAGGGAGCCTTACGGCGCCGTGCGAGTATGCAACCCATCCGCACGTAAGAATCCGGAACAGTATAAGCATTTTAAAAAGACGGTGCGGTTCACCCACCCTGTAAAAGCCAAAGAAAGGAGGGGTCTGTGGACCACCCTGTATATAGAATCCGACCAAAATTACCAGTATATTTCTTGAAGAGGACAAACTACGCCGCTCACCGGTCATGGTAGAACGAGACTGGGCAGCGATGCACCAGCCCATCCGAGGAGTTTGCCAACACTATCTGAAGGGTACTGCCCTTTGGTCTCACCAGTAAAGCCCTTGCAGTAAATTGTTGACTTTCCCATGTCGGAGTAAGACTGCAAATTCTCGTTTTCGCCATACACAGATTGGCAGC